GGCACACGCAGCGCGGCCCAAGCGCGCCGAGCGCCAACGAGCCCGCCGACGCTCCTGCCGCGACGCGCGACCTCGACACTAATTTTCCCGAGCGCGCCATCACCGATCTGGGCGCGCCCGCCGTCGACGACCTACTTGCCGCCGCCGAGCGCGCGTCGGACTCGGCCCCTGCGCCCGAGGGGCTCTCTTGCACGGCGCGGCTACGCGCTCCGAGGGGCGTCGACATCCTCGCCGAGCTCGGCGCGAGCGGACAGCGGGCCCCGCGCGACCTCAGCTACCCCGCGATGGCCCCCCGAAGGGCGACGGGCCAGTTGGGCGAGCTGAATGCATTCGAGCACCCGACCAGCTGCGGCCTCTAGCCAACAGCGCGGGCGCGGAGGCCATTGCTTCGGCGGCGAACCGCAACGTTCATTCCTCTCGCCAAGAGGGCCTACGTCACCCAGCGCTGGTTCGCGCTGAGACGACAGCTCATCAACAACGCCGCCGAAGTCGGCGCCCACGGCCGGCTCTGCAGCATCGGCCCTGGGGCCAGCTCCAACCGGCCCTGCTCCCTGAGCATTGATATAGCGGCTGCGTTCCAAGTCTACTTCACGCTAGGCCCCGGGGCGCCATTCTCGCCGCAGGGGCATGGCGAGCAGGCTTACCGCAGTTTTGCCACCTTTCTACAAGTCGCCGATCGCTTTCCTGGGAATGAGAAGGACTCGCCGCCCAGCGCATGCGGCTGCCAGCGGAGTTGCTCAAGGATGTCCTCTGAGCGGCTTTATTCGTGCTGCTGGGGCGCGCGATGCGGCGCTGAGCGGGGGCGGCGAATTCCTTCTGCGAGCGCGCCGCGGCATGGCCAGCGCACGCGCGGATAACGCTGGTCCGCGCGGCAGACGTCGGAGGTCATCTCGCGCGCGCCTCGGCGGCAGAACAGCGCGCGGGGCCCCGCCCCCGACGTCGGGAATGCGCCCCCGTGCCGGCGCGGGCGGCGACCCCCGCCGAGCTGGCCCACCAGCTCCGCGACATGCCTGGCCATATCTTTTTTCCGACTGGCGCTCTCCAGGATCGATTGCAAGGCCATGTATCAAGGCGCCCACGTCGGACCAGATGCAGATCATCGCTCTCGGAGGACGGCGCCCGCAGACCGAAGTTCCTTGATCCTTGGCGAAACGCGCGCACATGTTCAGCAGAGCGCTGTCATCTCCAACTCGGCCGCCATCGGGCCCTTGACGCGCGCTGCCCAATTTCCCCGTGCACCTGAGATGGCCCTCAGCAAAGAGGTCCGCACGCTGCGCGAGGTCATCCGCTCGGCACCTTCGGCGCTCGCAAACTTGACAGAGTTGAAATGGAGAATTTGCGCGGGGGCGTTGTCCCGATCGGAGTGGAAGCGTCGCCCGGCGCCGCCCTCGCGCTCGACCGCCGAAATCTGACCCAAGATTTGTAGCGGCTACCGAACAGCAAGTACCGATCGTGGCTGAGATTGCGGCGCGCTTGTGCGCTGCCTGCTGGCGCGCACCCACAATGCCGCGCAACGTCTTCGCGGCGCAAAGAACGGCGCGGCGTTTCCAACGGACAAAGAGTCAATCTGCACGCGCATGAAACGGAATATCCGCCCCCCCCCACCCCCCGCGCTAGTGCTACTCCGCCTTCTGCTCGCGCGTCGCCGCGCGGCGCGCGCTCGGCAAAATGGCGAACCACCTCGTCGATCACAACAGTGCTCTTACGCTCTGGAGATCCAACGCAAGCTCTATTTTAACGGCTTCGATACTGCGGTCTCGAGTTGGTTGCGATCATGGCGCCCCCCTCTCCCAACGGCTACGGCTTCGCACGAGCCCTCATCTCGCGAGCTACCTCCGCATCAACAAAGCGCGCCCTCTCATGCCACAAGCGCCGCCATCAGCACGCGGCGATGGCGATGATGACCTTGGATGGGCAGTTCGTGAATTGGGCGCTTCTGCCGAGATCTCGGGACAGCGGGCATCGGGCTGTCTGCCCGGCCTATGCGTCGAGAAAGACGAGATCGGGAATGGGAACGGCAGGATTGACTGGCGCGCACGATATTTCGCGCGGGCACTCCGACAGCAATGGCTGGAAATTCCCCATCCAGGGCGAGAGCGAGCCCCATGCTCGAGACCGTGCCCGACTCGTCCGCGCAGAAGCATGGCAACGCTCGCCCTCCAACCGATGCTCCCGGATAGCTCTCTGCGAGCTAAGAGGGTCTCAGATTTGAAGCCGGCTGCGCAGCGTGGCCCGGCGGCGCTTCCCGGCGCCAGTCAAGAATCCCCGCAGCGACATGCTTGAAGCTGAAGCTTGTCTCGAGAAGCGTTTTCCTACTCGTTCCCAACACGCGCGCTGGAAGCCTTTCCGCAGCTCCTTCGAAGCTCCTGCGAAGCTCCGTTCCTCAGGCTTGCAAAGATCCCCAGGCCTCCTTTCAAGAGTGGTTCCCAGCGTCTCCCAGAGGCCTTCCACGCGCGTTGGGCTAGTTCGCCATCTGGGTCCTGGACGCCGCAAGTTAGAAGCCGGCTGCACAGGGTGGCCCGGCAGCTCTTTCCAGCGCCGGTCAAGGATCCTTCCAGCAACTCCGTTGACGTTGCAGCGTGTCTCGAGAAGTGTGTTCCTACTCGTTCCCAACACGTGCGCCGGAGGTCTCTATGCAGCACCCATTCAGCTCCTTGGAGGTCCCTTGCGACGCTCTTCTCTGGAGCTTGCTATTTTCTGGAGGTCCCAGAAAGCATTCCAACCCTCTCGCAAGCGCCCCCAGGGACTTGTTGCGCGTTTTGGACTGCGCCGACATGCGGAATTTGCACGCCATATGTGAGCGAGAAAGGGCGCTGCGACGAATTCCACGACCTGAGGATTTTCAGAGCTTGCTGTACATGAACACACTGAGAGACGTCGTTTCATCTTGGCTGCCGATCCTGTGAGCCACCCATCGGACTCCACTGGCGGGACACTCAACTTCGGCATGGTTCAAGAAGCTGCGATGTACAACGACATGACGTCGCTGATCCAGTTCCTGAGCTCGGTGCGAGCGGCACGGCGTCGCTTCCGCTCCCACGTGGCTCGCCCTCCCTCCCTCAAGAATGTGGCTTGTGATGCAGACTCGCGAAGGGGGGCGGGCGACGTCTCATCGACTCCACGTGCAACCTGTGCGCCATGCGCGCCGATTTAGTGGCAATGCCCGTTTCTTCCCCGACTCTGTCGGCCACCTACGCGACATGCCCCAGAATCTGGCATCTCGCGGCTCGTCCTCGCGGGCGTCTCCACAATTGCGTTTTGGCCCGCCTTGGCCCCCGCGGTGCGAGCTTCAACGTGGACCCTGAGGCCGACGACCACGTCGACCACGCGCTGGTCTGGGTGGCCGTCCTCTACCGCATGCACCACACCTTCGAGGACACTGAGGCGGACGGCTCCCGCGCGAGTCAGGCTGAGGCCACCCGCGCAGCCCGCTTTGCGCTGCGCCCCCCGCCTCGCCCCACGGCGGCGGCGTGCGTGGCGTGCTCCGCGGCCAAGCAGGCAGCCTCTTCCCCGCCCCTCCCTGTGGCCGCCGTCCTCCCCGTCCTCGTTTGGTCCCGCCTCCTTGCCGCCCGACCACCGCCCCTCCCTCGCTCCTGGGAGCGAAAGCACAAGCACACACACACATTGTCGTGCTCACGGCCGCTTCGGCGCGATCGCCATCCGTCGTTCATACCGGCGAGAGGCGGAGCGAACGATCGGGTGACAGCGTCCCGTTCAGGGGCCCAGCTGGCGCTGCTCGCGGCTGACAGGCCCCGGCCGCCCCCCAGAGGACTTGTTCGTTCCTCCTCCTCCTCCTCCTCCTCCTCCTCCTCCTCCTCCTCCTCGTCCTCCTCCTCCTCCTCCTCCTCGTCCTCATGTTGTTCCTCCTCCTCCTCTTCCTCCTTCTCCTCCTCCTCCTCCTCCCCCTCATTCTCCGTTTCCTCCGCTTCCTCCTCTTCCTCCTCTTCCTCCCCCTCATTCTCCGTTTCCTCCGTTTCCTCCTTGTCCGCCTGCTCCTCCTCCTCCTCCTCTTTCTTTTCCTCTTTCCACTGACCCCCCCTTGGACATGCAAGTTTACCTGGCGACTCAGGGAGCTCAGGCACGGGTTGTGAGATACGTTTTGGGCCCGTTTCAGTTTGTGTGCGCTGGCCAAGGCCTCGGGTGTTGGTTCGCCTACTGCAGGTTGGCACTCTGGTGATTTTCGGCTTGCCCGATGCATGCGGCTGGACACTATGGGTGTGTTCGCTCAGGGAGAAAAAGACTAGGGGAAACGCTCCAGGCTCGAGTATTCCCGGAATGCTTGGGGTCCTGTGGCACCGCGCGGGCCAGCCTGACCCGCCAGCCGCCAACTTTGTTCAACCGCAGCCATGGTCCACACGCTCGGCAGCTATGTGCGAACCAGATCAAGAGACACAACTGACAGAATCGTGTATCGACGCATTGTCCTGCAGCCGATTATCCTGAAGCAGTCCTCCTGTCTTGGCCCACCCACCCGTCCCCCTGAAGAATCCTCCATCTGTTTGCTATTCCCGTGCAGCTACGTGCCAACAGGCACGGTGACGGATGTTGTCTGCACGTGGGTCAGCATTCGACCAGGACACAGCTGCTTCCTTGCAACCTAGGGTTTTCCAGGCCAAGGTGGGCAATCAATTGATTGCGTGAACGTTTCTCAGGAGGGAAAAAAACACACAGACACAATTAATCGTCGATCCCCCAGAAAATATTCGAAAATATGGGAAGTGGGGGGGAAGACAAAAACCCAGAAAATATGGGAAAATGTGGGGCATCTTTTTGTTTGTGTGCATGTATTTGTGTGTCCTGGGGTCCCTTCAGTTTCGTCCATTCGTGCTCGGGTCTGCCCTTTTTCTGCTGCCCCAGGGCGGTTGGAAAGTTTATACCCTTACGGTGGCACCGTAGGGTATAAATTTTCCAGCCGCCCAGGGGCAGGTGTCCCCGACGGCGAAAAAGTTTATACCGTTCTTCGCCCGCTGACTTTTTCTCTTGGTGCGCATCCCCGCCAGGGACCTGTTCGTGCTGCTGTGCAGCGACGGCGTGTGGGAGTTCATGACCAGCCAGGACCTCCTCGGCTCTGCTGCGGGCCCCGGTCGCGCGCCGAGGGGGGGGGCCCGGCGCCTGCTCGGCCGGAGGGCGCCGTCGGCAGCGGTTGGCCAGGCCTCTGGATTCCCGACGCTTGGCATCGCTCGGACGTGTGCGAGGTTTCCTGGTCAAGGATCCTCCATCAAGGATGCTCCTCAAGGATGCTCCATCAAGGATGCTCCTCAAGGATGCTCCTCAAGGATCCTCCATCAAGGATCCTCCTCAACCGAACGGGATGATCAAGGATCCTCCATCAAGGATGCTCCTCGATGGTCCTCGCCGATGGTCCTCGATGTTTCCTTCGGCGGGGACCATCGAGGAGCATCCGTGATCATTTGGCGAAAGAGCGACGCACGAAACCGGTAAAAACACACGGGGAATGGACGTCCGAGCGATGCCCAGGACGGGTGTTTTCTCGGGCGGGGCTCGGCAGCTACAGTCAAAAGCCCCAATAAGGACGCGCGACTTTGCTCAGGGTATGCCCTTGCGCCCTTGCCCTTCCCTGCTCTTGCGTCCTTGGGGTGTTCGTCGTCCGCCGCCCCAAAAACCTCAACTTCGGCTTCCAAGGGTCTTGCGCCCTTGCCGCGCGTCCTTATGAGGGTTTTTGACAGCCATTTCCCATCGTGGAGCGCGGGACGGTCGGACAAAAGTCAGGACCGGCCAGGACCCGCGAGGCCGCCCGGCCTCCGAGAGGTCGGTGGTGCCGGCGGCGGCGACGACCGATGGCCTGATCTGCCGGGCGGACCCTCTCGGGGGCGGCCAAGATTCAGGAGGAAAAGAAACACACAGACACAATTCATCCTCGATTTCACCGAAAATATGGGAAAATATGGGAAGTGGGCGGGAAGACAGAAATCCCGAAAATATAAGAAAATATTTGGGTTTGTTTTATTTGTGTGTATTTATTGGTGTGTCCTTGGGCCCCTTCAAAGATGGGTGTGATGAGCAGGGGGGCAGGATGTCATGGCGGGGGCCCTCATATTTGTAGTGTCCGAAACCTGGATAGCAAGGCGACAGAAGTGTCTGGAAGGTCCTCCGAAGGAGCCCTGGCAGCTAGGGGAGGCTGTGTCTGGAAGGTTTGACGGCACACGGATTGGGAAACAGTTAGGACAGGTTGCCGGAACACGCGGCAATGGCACAGGAGTTTCTGCGAGGTGTTTGGAGCGAAGCTGGGCCGAGCTCTTGGGCTACCCTGCGGTGCCGGCTTCTACTGTCAAACCCCGTTAGCTCTCAGAGGGTTATCCAGGAATCTCCCAGATGTCATGGCCCCCCTTTCTTATTTCAGTACGTCTCCTGGCCTCCCTTGGTCGGGCCGGACGAAAGGGGGGGATTGGGAAATCTGCTGCATGCAGCCGGTTTCGGCCCCACCGAGGGGCCCATTCCTCGATACATGGCCGCCTCTGGCGCCGGGAGGCGCCGGGAAAATCAGCTACGTGAGCTGATTCTCAAACCCCCCCTGTGCTATCCCCCCCTTTCGCCCGGCCCGACTTGGGCCGCGCACGTGCCTCGGGCCATGATCTGCGACCCTCCCCCCCCTCTCGGACGCCCCCTTCCTGGACAGCTCTCGGCTCCACCGAGGCGGGCACGCAGCGATCGGGAGCGTCGGGCGGCAGCATAAGCGCCGCCCACGCGCTGGATGGCGCGGGAACGCAGCACCCGCAGACGGTATGTATGTGGGCGATGGCCGACGTGCCCTTCGGGCGCCTCGGGGGCCTTGAGGGCTTCTCGCCGGAAGGTCAGGACGTCTTGGAGCGGTCTTCGGGCGACCGGGGATAGCCTTGCGCCGTCTGGGGGCCTCTTGGAGCCCTCCTTTCATTTCAAAGTGTTCCATCCTGGGCCTCTTCCTGGCCACTGGGGGGCCAGGAGCAATTAGAAACGAGCACAACTTGAAATGAGCACGATTAGACATGAACGACGCGCAGTCTTGCGCCGTCTGGGGGCCTCTTGGAGACCTCGTGGCCCTTCTGGGATCCCTCCTGCTTCCGGCAAGGCAGCGCGGGGGCACACGCCACGGACCCCAGGCGCGCCCGGGAGCGCCCCGAGCTCTTGGGTTGTGGGCCCCCGGAAGAGTATGTTTCAAGATTCAACACAGGAGGCTCAAGGGGACGGCACGGTGGCACGCATAATTTTACACACACACTCATGTATTCATAGATGCATGTACATACACACACATATATATGTATACATATATATATATATGTATATATATATATATGTATATGTCCGTCTCTCCTCGGCTCATGTGTCCCATTGTCGCATTGGTTGGAGGGGGCTCGACACCCTCCGCCTTCCTCCTCCTCCCTCCTCCTCCCTGCTCCTCACCTCCGCGCTCTCGCGCAGGCGAGCGAGTCAGGCGCCCAGAGTGCACCAGCGAGCCCTCTACGTGCAGCGAGGTCTCTGCTCTCTGTGAAGCTCCTGGAGACTGTTCAATCCTCCCCATACCCTGAGTTGAACTTCGTTCCGTCTTGTTTGTTCATTACCATCTTCACCATCGGAGATATCTGTAAGCGTCGCCCCCGCCTTATAATCAGGAGGCGTGCGACCTGGTCTTGAGCTACGGCAGCTTTGTTTGCTCGCTCTGTATGCCATGTAGCTGGAAAGATGGGACAGCCTACGTGGCCTTGGCATTCTGTGCAGCAGGACATGAGTGCGCATCGAGAGGAGGGGGCTGCCGTACCACTTGGCTTCGATAGTAGGCGTGCAGCACGGCTGTGGGCCACCGGGAGTCACGGATGTACGCCAATGGCGAACGCGACTGGAGTTCGCGACGACGACGTGGATTCGCAGCAGTGGCCTCGCGGCAGCGCAACACGCTCTGCGCTCCGACGCCCGTCGGCCTCTGAGAGCCTCCGCCCGTGGGCGTCGGCACGCAGAGGGTGCTCCCTTTGGGCCTTTGGGCAATCTTGGGGCCTCTTGGGCCGTCTTGGACGCCCCTTGGACAGTCTTGGGGCTCTCTCGGGCTGGGGATCTTTGGAACCGTCTTGGGGCCTTCTTGGGCCGTCTCGGACGTTGGGAAGATCCACGGAAACGAACGTGGTAAAAATGCACGTTTCCAAAGGAAATGGGGCGATGTTGGCCTCCCGGGGCCTTCTCGGGGGGCCTGTTGGAACTGTATTGGGGTGTCTTGGGGGCCTTCAGCCTGCATTGAAGCCATTTTGGGGCGTCTCGGAACGCTCTTTGGGCCCTCCCCGAGTGACTTGGGAGCCTCTTGGGCAGTCTCGGGGCCCTCCCGGGGTGACTTCGGAGCCTCTTGGGCAATCTGACAGCCTCCTCGGGAGGTCCAGAAAGCCCGAAAAGTGCCCACGAAGGAGTCGCTGGAGCCGTCCAAATTCTATTGGGGGGGGGTCGGGGGGGGACCCATCCTTGGTGTCAGATAATAGAGATAGGAATCTAGTCATTGATATGTGTGTGAGTTTCGGGATGTGCACGAGCAAATATACATACATGCAAAGGTGTATATTCCTATTCTGATATTTGTATTACCCGGACCCCCCCCCTAAACCGGATCCCCCCCCCCAGGGACGCCCTGGACACCCTTTCGGACGTTTCAGCGGCCCCCTGGACGCCCTTGGAAAAGGTCCGCTGGCCCTTCCGGGCCTCCCAGGACGCCTTGCCAGGCTTTGCGAGCAGACTCAAGGCGATCAGAGGGGTCATCGGAGAGGCGCAAGAGAGACCCAAGACAGCACCAGAGCGCTCCAAGGGGAACCTCGATGGTCTGAAGACGCCCCAAGAGGCCCTCAAGACGCCCCAAGAGGCTGTTAAAAGAGCCCCGAAGAAGCAAGCAAGTTCAACATATCCGCTGTTTGGGATTTCGCAGCGTCCAAAGCGGCCCGATAGGCCCCCGATATCGCCCCAAGACGGCCCAAGAGGCCCCCCAGATGCTTTGAAGACGGCCCCAGAGGGCCCCAAGACTGCCCCAGAGAGCCCCGAGACTGCCCGCAAGAAGCCCAAGATGCCCCCAGAAGGCTCCCAAGAGAGACCCACGAAAGCCATGGGAGACCCCCAAGAAGGCCACTGGAGGCCCCCAAGAGGGCCCTAGATGGTTTCAGAAGACCTCTGGAGGGCCCCAGCTCCCCAAGACGGCCCAAGAAGGCCCCGGGACGGCCCAAGGGTGCCCCAGGACGGCCCACAAGAGCCCCCCAAGCGCCCAGACGGCGTTTTCCTACGAAGTACATCGAGCTGACCCGACGATTTTGGTTCCACGCTTGAGGCTCGAGGTTTCAGTTCCTCGATCGAGAGAGACAGGCAATGGATCTAGACTCGAAGTTCGACGAGCGAACATTTCCTGACTGCCTGGAGCCTTCAAGGCGTTCAGGAAGCTTCAAAACATCAATTTGTTCGGTGCTACTGCGACTTCTTCGGCGTGTCATGGGAACGCTCCTTACTTCCTCAAAGGACCTTCACGCGTGAAAAATCATCATTCCCCCAGCTCCTGCGCACAAGCGTGCAAGCGCATCGGGCGAACGCGGTGTCAGCACGCACCAGGGATATCAGAAAAATGAGCCGGTCGCCCGTCCAGGTTTCGAGGTCCCCCTCGCTGAAGCAAGCGATGATTAATTGATTTGCCGGGGAGGGTCCGGAACAAAGCGCACGGCGCAAAGCGTCAATACAGTCTTGTATGTGTACATATGTATATATATATACATATATATATATATATATATATATATATATGGGGCAAATGATGGCCCCGATGGAAACTCAAAACTACCAAATAACCGGCCGCTGCGATGCGTTTACAATATGCATCTCCCAATAGGGACTGAATCAGTGCAACTGCCCAGACATCCCACGACCTGTGTCTTTCCACGCGCGCCCCAAAGTTTCAGACCGCCTCCCCATGGGTTGATTTCCGCCCCAGATCCGTTTCTGGTCGTCCCTGGGTCCAACACGGGCCCTCAGAGGCCGAAATCGAAGGAACATCGCCCAGGATTGGCAGCATCATTCGGCGGCGAGCAAGGGGGTAGAGTGAGAAGCAGCAGGCCTCCTCAGACGGCGGCGGTGCCTCTCAGAATCCCTTGCGCCCTCTGGAGTTTGCGGTGTCTTCCGAGCAGGCTCGGTAATTACACCATTCAGAAGGCCCGAGGCCTTCCGAGCCTCCTGAAAAAAAAGGCCCGATCGTTTTCACTTCCCCCCGGGTGCGCCGACGAATCATACACCCATCAAACCTCTTTATAAAAAGCGTCAACTTTCAAGGACTCCAGATCTCGCCCAAGAAACCAAGAATCTGTGCTGGACCATGGGCGTTTGCTTGGAGCTTCTCTCTGCGTGGAGTGTCTTGTAGATCTGGACCCGGGCTACTTTTTGAGAGACCGCTTGGAGCGAAGTCGATGTTCTGAACCTCGAATTCTCTGAATTCTGAGCAGGCGTGTATCGACGAGCATCTGGGCACATCAAGACCATCGAGGGCCTCTCGGGGGGGGCAGCCGGTGGGACCGGGCGGCGCACGAGGCCGGGACGACGTGCAGGGTGCCATCGCGGAGCTGGCGCGGCGCAGCCGCGACCTGTGGCTGCAGGACCCGCGGTCGGGCGGGGAGGGCGGCTGCCTCGAGGCAGCCGCCGCAGTATCGTTTCACCGATCCTCACTCGGCGGCGCAGGGTGGAGGGGGGAAGGCCTCTTAGAAGCAACCCTGCTTCTTCGAAGGCGGGGGCCTTGTCTGCAGATGGGAGGCCCGCGCCGTCTAAGAAGCAGCCTGCTTCTAAGAAGCCTTCCCACCTCCCCCTACCCCCCCCTTGCGCGTCGCCAAGACCGATCCTTCCCCCCGTCCCGCGGCCCTGACGCGTGTGGCGCGCCTGGCACGAGTGGCACACCTCGCCCCATCGTCACGCACCCGGGTGCGTGCTGTTTCTGTTCCCATGAGCTGTCCATCTAAGGACGACCGCTCAACATGCTGAGGCCCCCGGGCTACTCATGTTCTGGGAGGGCGGGTGGGAGTGAGCGAGACAGCTTGCGGGCGAGGAGGGTGTCTTGACCAATGCCTATCCCCATCCACACCAACCCATGATCCCCACCAGCCGACCACCCCAGTTGGGATACTTCTGCCCCTCGGAACTCGAAACCCGCAGGGAGCAGCCTAGATCCCCACCTCGGTGGGTCCATCGGCCAGCGGGGCCCAGGTTGGCCCCACGGAGGAGACGCAGCAAGCAAGAGCTGGTCTGCACACAACAACAAAAAGCCATTTCCGGAATCCCGCCAGGCGGCCCCTCGGAGCTTCGCCGCCAGCTTTGCAGCCAAGGGCTCCCCCGAGGCCAGGGGAAGGCTCTGGGGACTTCCGGAGGACCCGTGGTCGGGCGGGGAGGGGCGGCGGGCGGCGGAGGCACGGGTACGGCTACCGTTACGTCGGGCTTGTCCCTCTGCAGGGGACGATGCTTCCTGCTCTTTCTGACTGTGTGTTTTGCTTGCTTCCACAGTCCGCCTCTGGGAGGCCCTGCCCGACCGGAGGATACCGTCAACATGCACTCGCTTTCGCCTTCCTGTGCCTCCGAAGGGAGGAGGCCCTCGTCGCCACGGCTGGAGCCGCCTCGGAACCCAGGGCAGGAGGCACATCCCAGGAGAGGTCTCCTTGGGCCGGAGGCCGCGAGGGAGGAGGGGGGCGGGGCGAGCGGTGGCGTGGGGGGAGGGATGGCGGGCGGGGAGGGCGGGGAGGGTTGGTGCCTGCGACGAAGACTGCTCAGGAGGGAAAGAAACACACAGACACAATTATTCGTCGACTCCCAGGAAAATAATAGGAAAGTATGCGAAGTGGGGGGGAAGACAAAAACCCAGAACATATTTGTGTGTCCTGGGGCCCCTTCAACTGCGACGTCGAGGTGGATGGCGACGAGCTCTGCTCACCGACGTCGCCGGCGTCGTCGGCGAGCAGCAGGAGAAAGGAGAGCGGAGGAGGCCTGCTCCTCGCCTTCGCCGTCGTCGACGAGTTGGATGTCCGCTCGTGGGAGCCTGGAGCGGCGACATTTCAGGAGGGAAAAACACACAGACACGAATAATCTTCGGTCCGAGGGGAATATGGGAAATACGGGAATTGCAGGGGGAGACGAACATCCAGAAACAATGAAAGAATATGGGGGCCCCTTGGGTTCATGTCTATCTATATTTATGTGTCCCTTGGCCCCTTCAGCATTGAGGTTATCTTTTTTTTCTGCACTTGGACTGCAGTTGGACCGCAGTTGGCTCTTCCGTCTGCTCCTCCTCGCCTCTTCATGTTCCCCCTTCCCCTCCTTGTGCTTCTCGTCTCCCTTGTGAAGGGGCGAATCTGATCCAAGCCCGGTTCAAATCTGGTCCCAAATGTGTTCCATACCCGGCCCAACCCTGAGATCGGGGCGATGCCATTTTTTTTACACTCGGCGTTTTCGCGCAATTTTGGGCACCGGGACCCTCACAGATAGGTGCGGCTCGAAAATGACGCAGAAAGATAGGGATCCGGGCTTCCCGTCGGGGACGGGGGCCACTCATCACTTCAAGGTCCTCGGCAGCCTCAACAAGACTCGCGCGCGAGGCACGTAGCGGCGTCAGACCGCAGGCAGGATGTACGCTCTGGATGGCGTGGCCACGCTGGGGCGAGAGGAGGAGGAGGAAGAGGAGGAGGAGGAGGAGGAGAAGGAGGAGGAGGGAGGTGGGAGGAGGGAGGAGGGAGGAGCAGTCGCCCGCCAGAGAGGGGAAGCTCATCGGCAAGGGGGCGGGCACTGCTGCGCCGCCTTCCTTGTGAGCCCGGCGCCAGCCCGTGGCCGCCCCCGCACCGCCAGTCTGGGAAGCGCTGGGTGCGCGCCGGAGCAGCCGTGGCAACGCGCCCACGACGCCCCCCGCTCCCTCCTCCTCCTCCTCCTCCTCCTCCTCCTCCTCCTCCTCCTCCTCCTCCTCCTCCTCCTCCTACCCCCCGCTTCCTCCTCCCTCCTCCTCCTCCTCCTCCTCCTCCTCCTCTTCCTTCTCCTCCTCCTCCTCCTCCTCCTCCTCCTCCTCCTCCTCCTCCTCCTCCTCCTCCTCCCCCCGCTTCCTCCTCCTCCTCCCTTCTCCTCCTCCTCCTCCTCCTCCTTCTCCTCCTCCTCCTCCTCCTCCTCCTCCTCCTCCTCCTCCTCCTCCTGCTCCTCCCCCTCCTTCCCCTCCCCCATCCTCAACCCTCCTCCTCCTCCTCATCATCATCATCATCCTCCTCCTCTTCCTCCTCTTCCTCCTCCTCTTCCTCCTCCTCCTCCTCCTCCTCCTCCTCTTCCTCCCCCTCCTCCTCCCCCTCCCCGCTCATCAAATTCCGCTTTCTTCTCCTCCTCCTCCTCCTCCTGCTCCTCCTGCTCGTCCTCTTCGGAGTAGGAGGAGGAGGAGGAGGAGGAGGAGGAGGAGGCACTCTTGGCGAGGGCGGGGAGGGGAAGAACAGATTTCTGAAAACAGCCCCCGTCGCCCCGCAAGGCGACGGGCCGCGCCAGAGGGCCGCTCGCGACATCCGCTCGAGCTGTGAGAGAGGGTGGGCCGCTCAGCTGGGGCGCCCGAGGCCTAGCCGCGCCAGTGCTGCGGGATGCAGCAGGCGGGGAGGGGCGCTTCGTCATTCTGCCTATGACGTGCCTCCTCCGAGGCCACTGCCGCTGCCGCGGCTGGGCAGGTCGGCGGCCTCCGCGAGGCCGCGGACGGACTGCGCCTCGCGTTCGCTCTGCACTCTGCCGCGCGCATCCGCGATCCTCTTCTGCAGCCCCTTTGCAGCGATCCCTCGCCACCGCGCGCTGCCCCTCGGTCTGCTCGCGGCCCCTCGTCGCGCGGCGCCCGAGCTGCTTGGCCTTCCGATCCGGCCTGTTCGCGAACAGGTTGATCGCAGGCCTAGAGGTTGACACCCACACCACTTTTGGCGGTGTGCCTCCACCGAGGGAAGAAGATCCCGATCTCGGTGATGGTGGTACTATTCTGGCTTCCAGGGTGGCCGATTTTATTACCACCGACACCGAAATCTGGGATCCTCTTCCCACTGTGGAGGCAACTGCCTGTGTTGGTGTTGGTGGCCATTTCCAGGCCTCCAAGTTGGGGCTCTTGTCCTTGTCGCGGGCGTTCCTGCGGCTCTCCGAGAGCAGGGCGCGTCGGCGCTCGATGGTCACCTGATGCTCCGCGACCTGCCTCGCCGAGCCGGGAGCCGACCGCTGCCCCCGGCAGCCGCGGGCCGCCCTGGGTGTTGCCGCCGTCTTCGGGTCGGCCTTGCCTTTGGGCGGCACCGCCTCGCTGTGCGCAGACGCGAGGGATCCCGAGGGATGGCCGATGGGGGGTCGACAGCGCCTCGAGCTCGGGCCGAGGCCGACCATGGATGAGAGGGGGGTCTCATGATCCCTCTATCGATCACACTTTCGAACCCACTATCGGCTTCAGTTTCGTTCTCACTATCGGCTTCGCGATCGATATTGCTATCGGTCCCACTGCGGATCCCACGATCGATCTCGCTGTCGATCTCACTATCGCTCTCGCTATCAATATCACTATCGGTCCCACAGTCGATCCCAGCATCGGCCCCACTATCGATGCGCCCCTCGCGGGCCCTCTGCGAGGCCCCGCCCAACCCCCGCCCTGGCCAAATACCATTATATGAATCAGCGTTGGTGGAATTGTGCGGCAGCCCCAATGGATGCATCAGCGGGGGGGCCGCCAAGATGAGACGTCCTGAGTTGGGCCCTCGCTCGGCATGCGCATTACCTGCATATGGCTGAGCCCTTCGCCAAAGCGTTTTTTTGGAAGGCTGATGCGCGCCGGGGCACGCATGCTCCAGGCCTCGAAGTATTGGGCACGGCCCGTCAGCAGCAGCGTGCGAGCGCGATTGTACACCGCTGAGCACGCTGGGAAACGCCAGAAGAGCCGAGCCGAGCAGCCCACGCGCGGTCCTACGTGCCCTTGGCATCGCTCGGACGTGTGCACTTTTTTCTCGGCGGCGGCCATCGAGGAGCATCCTTGATCATTTGGCGAAGAAACCACGCACGAAACCGAAAAAACACAGGAAATGGACGTCCGAGCGATGGCCAGTGCGCCCACCCCTCGCGCGTGGCCTGCGCGAGACCCGAGTGCCGCGGCGCGCTCGGGTGGCGCGCCCCGCCGCGGGCCCCGTGCCCGCCGCCCGCGCGGAGCACGCGGCTGCCCCTGCGGCGGTCGCCACCTCTCACTTTGGCGGCTGGCGGTTTGGCATTATCATTCGCAACGTGAGAGCTTGCGAGAAGAGCAAGTGCCGTCAGGATTCCGCAAATATTACGTATATATAATCTTTTCGATCAGGATCTGCAATCGCCCGAGCTGCTGGCGTTTGTGCTGGCGTGGGCGGCTAGCGTCTGTGCTGGCGTCTGCGCCGGCAGCTCGCCCGAGCTGCCGGCGCCGCCCGTGCTGGTGCAGGCGGCTGGCTGCTGGCGCCGCCTGTGCTGGTGTAGGCGGCTGGCGTCGGCGCAGGCCTCTTGGGTTTCGGGGTCGGGAATCTTCGCCTCGGGCGTCGACTCGGCGTCGGCTGCTGGCGTGGGCTGCTGGCGTCGGCTGCTGGCGTCGGCTGCATGAAGGCGTCGAGCGGCGGCGGCACGCACTCGCCCATGCTGCCGATGCCTGGGACGAGCGCGTCCACGACGAAGTCTGGCCACCACGGCACGTGCCCCATCCCCCAGAAGCGCGCGCTGTCGCGCACGAACGCGGCCATCCACTGGCGCTGCCACTTTAAGTGCGCCTCGAAAGCCGCCTCGTCGTTCAGCGCTGGAATTGGAGGCGATGCTGATCGCCAGTCCACGACGGGCCGCAAGTCCAGAGCAGTCGACGTCGACGACAAGTAGGGCGGCAGGACGAAGCGAGCGTCGGCGTCGTCGGCCATCGCTCTGCACGCAGCCGAGAAGAAGGCAGCCGAAGAAAGCAACCCGAGCCGCGCGCGGCTGCGGCAAGGAAAGGGAGGGCGTTGCAAGTTGGCCCCTGCACCTGCACGCGCCCAAGACGGGAGGGGGAGAGGGGGGAAGCGGATGGATGGGGGAGGCATGAGGGGAGCCGAGGAGGGAAGAGGGAGGAGGAGGGAGCGACAACGACGACGACGACGTTTCTGCGTTTTCTCGCCACCTGCACCTCCACCACCACGCCAGCTGAAGACGACGACGACGACGACGACGACGCGGCCCATACGGGGCCCCCTCGGGGGGAGGAGGCGCCCCCTCCGTCCCCCTCCTCCTAAGGCAGGGTGCTATCACCCCTTTGCGATTGCAGCGGGGAACCGTTCGACGCACATCGCAGCCCCAGCACTTATGGAACTTCAATGGGATATGATTTAGCTCTACTGAAGATCATAACAAATAAACCGATGACGGGCGAAGTTGCCTAAGTCCCATCTGTTCTACTTCAGCACTACGTAATGTCTTACATGTAGCTCCGGTGATGATGGATGCATCAGCAGTCTTTAACCGACAGCAGTTTCTTAGGGGTGGGCGCCTGAGCAGCCGGCCCTGCGACTCCAGAGGCTACCATCGCCTTCCTCTGCGTTCTAGGAGGCATTCCTCGTGATGGCGAGAGGGAGGGGTGCAACCTGACGTCTGCGTCGAGGAGAGGCGCGTAGCGCAGCGGGCCGACTGAGGGCCGCGGGACATCACAGAGCGTCCGCCGTTGCGGCGCTGCGAAAAGAGCGCAGCCGCGGCCAGGAGCGAGGGGGAGAAGGAGGAAGGTAAGGACTGTGCTCAAGATTTGCGGACCCAAGAATCCCATCTTTCAGAGAGGGGGGGGGGGGGGGGGAAATTACCCCATAATTATGATGTGGGGAGGCATCGTTTCGCCAGAGATCCGGCCACCCTGCGGCCAGGACGACCCCTGCTACGTCGACGACATCACCGCCGTGGTGGCCTGGCTCTGAGCGGCCGCGCGCGGTGCCGAGCGACGGCTCAGGCTTCCATCGGACCGCCTCGAGGGGCAGGAGGAGGGGGAGGAGAGATGAAGGGAGGGAGGGAGGGATGAGGAGGAAGGGAGGGAGGAAGGGAGGAGGGAAGGGAGGGAGGAAGGGAGGAGAGGAGGAGAGGAAGGGAGGGAGAAGGGAGGAGGGGAGGAGGGAGGACGGGAGGGAGGGAGGGATGAGGGGAGTCCAACTCCCTGACGTTGCGGTCTGACGGGGTGGCGCACGGCCTACCACATTCGCCACCCGCCGAGCCAGCAGTCCTCCCTCTGCAGACGCTCCCAAAACTGAAAGAGCGCAGCCGGGGGGCGCGCCTGCTGGAGCAGCTGAGGGAACAAGGACGAAAGGGGGGGGAGGAGGAGGAGGAGGAGGAGGAGGAGGAGGAGGAGAAGGAGGGGGAGGAGGAGGAGGAGGAGGAGGAGGAGGAGGAGGAGGAGGAGGAGGAGGAGGAGGAGGAGGAGGAGGAGGAGGAGAGGGATGTGGAAGAGCAGGAGGACCAGAGTAAACCACATATGCGTAATCGATTATGCTTCACGCCCTGCTGCCTCAAGTCCTCTCCTCATGCGCTCCTACACGTCCTCAGTCTCACCACAATCAGCGCCCATCCCCGATGAAAAATCATTGGGCCTGCCTTACTGGCGGGAGCCTCACTTTGACACAAGCTATTGCTTCGCATCACGAACGCGCGAAAAATACGTACGAAGCAGTTCAACGAGTTGTCCATGGATCTTGTCCCTTCGAAGAATGACCGCCCCCCAGCCCGTGCAACCGTCGCAGAAATTGACCGCTGCGGTCAGATACCTCGAGGAGGTTCGAGGCGCAACTCCCATTTGGAACGAGAGCCGCCGTGGGTCCGCGCCGCGCGTGTTGAAGTCCCGGGCCCTGCAAACTTTCGAAGTCTCAGACGATAGTGTTGGAACAAATCGGCATCCTGTTCAAGCTTTCCAGTAAACAATCCATCTGTAGACATGCTGACGGCGATGTAGGCAACGGCGATGTTGGTCTCGGTACTGTAGGTGGGGGTAGTTCGTGGCCAATCCAATTGTAGGACCGCGCTGTTAGCGTTTCCTACGATTCGCCGTGCCGTTTTCGCTCGATACGTTTGCGTAGTTGAAACGTAGGAGAGTGTGGTTCGTGATGTCCTACAGCATGTTCTGCGCGAGTTCGTCGTTGCAAAATCTAGATTCCCAACATCGCCGTTAACCAACATCGTCGTTAGCGTGGCCTTGGATGAATGCGCGAGGCGCTGAGGCGAGAGCCCATCATTTGAAAGTGCGGCCCTCCTTTTCGTTGAGCGGGCGCACGTTTTACACGAGCGCGCGCGGCCTTCAGGCGAGGGCACCATCTTGAGCACGTTCCCCCTTCCATCCGTGAAACGGCTGCTACGTATAAGGCGACGTCGTGCCGCGCCCGGGCGAAGAGCCGCCTCTTGGAGACAGCCACCCGCCCGCCCGTGAAGATGTTGCGAACTTTTGAGGTGAAGGCGCGCGTCTTCGAGGCGAAAGCCACATTTTGGAAACCATGCCCCTCCAACAAAAAAACAAAAAAACTTTAAACAACAAAAAAACATGTTGGAAACCATGCCCCTCCATCCGTGGACATGCTGCGAAGCGTTAGCACACGTGCGCGGCGATACGGCGAGAACAATTTTTTTTCGACCCCTCTCCGTTTTTTTGTGAAAGTGCTAAAGGACTTGCAACTGCGCGCGGCGCCCAGGCGATCGCCACGTTTTTGAAAGCCACCAGCCTGGAGCAACTGTTTGCAACATCGAAGACGGAGATGCGCGTCGCTCGGACGAAGACCACGTTTGGAAGACCGCTTCCACTCCAGCCGCGAAGCTGTTACACACTGTTCAGACTGAGGCGCGCGTCGCTGAGGCCAGAGCCACACAGTCAAAACGACAACATCATGCTGCATTGCGTGACAGTGCCGCAAATTGTCAAGACGAATGCGCGCGGCGCTGAGGCGAGAGCCACCTTTCCCCCACCCCACCCCTCAATATGTGACACTGCGGCGGACTTGGAACAGAATGCGCGCGGCGCTCAGGCGAGAGCCATATCTGAAAACCAGCCGCCTTGGGACACTGCTGCAAACCATGACGACGAATGGGCGCGGCGCGCCCGCACGGGCTTAGCCGCGGAGGAGGCCGAGCAGCCCCTGGCGGCCGCCTGCCGGGCCGCGCGCCTCCTGCTGCCGCTGCTGCAACCCAGGGCCCGGCCGGGGGAGGGAGCGGGCCCCCTCCCCGCTTGGGCTGACCTCGCCCAACAGAACCGCACCAAGGTGCAGAAGGAGCTCACGCGGCGGCTGGACCAGAACAACCTTTTGGCCCTGCGGAGCACCAGCACCAGCGAGGACCGGGCGAGGCTGGCTTCGGGCGGGGGGCCGCACGCTGGAGGCTGGGGCGCCCCAGGACAGCGCCTCAGCAACGCGGATCAGTTGTTGCAGCACCGCCCGCGAGCTCCTTGGCCAGGACCTCGCGCCGCGGGCGGCTTGCTGCAGCAACCGGACGCGCACCGGCCCGCGCGCGGGCCGCCTCTGCGGCGAGCCGCTCTGCAGCAAGGCGCGCCACGCCTTTCGATGTCCCTGCGGCGGGGGCGTCAACGCCCGCAGCGGGGATGTCGAGGACGGGTGGGAGCGCGTTCACACCGAGTGCTGCTTTCACGCGGCCCGCCAGGTTCCCGTTCCCGCGCGGGACCGGTGGGCGCGGCGCTGCGGCCCGCGCGACGTGGCGGGCACGGCCGACCAGCAGCCAGGCCCCTGCGCCGCCTGCGGCCGGCAGCTGGAGGGCCGGCGCGAGGAGGCGATCCTCGACCTCGAGGTGCAGCGCGCCGGCTGTCCGCGCGTCTTCATCGACGTGACAGTGCGGATGCTGTACCCGGAGACGCCGACGGGCTGGCCGCCGCGGCCCTGCACGAGGACGCGGTCAACGCCGCGGCCGAGGCCGACAAGAGGCGTCGGACCTCGAGGCCCGCTGCCCCTGGCCGCTGGTGCCGCTTGCCCTTGGAACAGGCGGCCAGCGCGGCAAGGCGGCGCTGCGCTACCTCCTCCAGCTCGCGCGGGACCAAGCGGAGCTGGTGGACGAGGAGCGCGCCGCGGCCTTGGCCAGCACCCTGGCGCAGCGCTGGGGCGCTGAGCTCAGCGTCGCCTTGCACTGCGCCAAGGCGCGGCAGCTGCGGACCGCCCTCGGTGGGGACCACGCTGCCCGGGCCGCCGAGCGGCGGGCAGAGGTGGCCGGCTGAGCCGGCACATCGTGAGGCTCTATTGGGTGTTCGTGCTGCCCTACGAGCTCAGGGCGCGCGTCCAAGACTCGCCGCGGCGTTCGCAGGAGGAGGAGGAGGAGGAGGAGGAGGAGGAGGAGGAGGAGGAGGAGGAGGAGGAGGAGGAGGAGGAGAGGGAGGGGGAAGAGAGAGGAGGAGGAGGAGGAGGAGGAGGAGGAGGGAGGAGGAGGAGGAGGAGGGAGGAGGAGGAGGAGGAGGGGAGGAGGGGGGGGGGGGAGGAGGAGAGAGGAAGGGAGGGAGGGAGAAGGAGGAGGAGGAGAGGAGGAAGAGGGAGGTGGAGGAGTGGCCTGGCGGCGCCGTGGCGGCGGCCTGATCGCCGCACCAGGCTGGCGGTTTAGGCGAGTTTGGTAGTTTAGTCTGCTGCGCCTCGTTCTGTTGCTCAACTCCATCCCCCCGCTTCCCCTCCCCTCCGCGACCGCCCGAGTGGCGCTCCGCGTTGTTTTCCGGGTGCTGGCAGGGACCAGAAGGCCCGGCAGTCCAGGGGCGTCCGAGAGGGCAACGAAGACTTGAAGGGAGGGGGGAATTTCTTTGGCCAAGCTCCCGAGTTTCATGGCCCCTTCTTGGCTCAATACGTCCCCTGCCCCCCCCCCACCCCCCTCGTCCGAGCACATGCCTCGGGCCACGGTGCGCGCCCCCGCAGTCTTCGTGGCCCCCCTCCTCGGCAGACCGGGCAATGCCAAGGGGGGGTACCGCAAGGGTGCCTGCCGGCTCTTCCAGAGGGTGGTACGTCAGGATTTTCCAAGGGCCTTCGAGTGATCCCCCGAAGTGATGAGCAAGTGGTCCAGAACCTCCTCGACCCTGGATCCTCGAAGCTCTATCCCGAGCTGGCGACTGCCCTGATTGGTGGGCGTGAGGGGTGTGCCGAGCTGGGCGGGGAACCCGCCCGCAGCACCCTGCCACTGAAGCCTTCGGTGGAGGTCCCTGCGGGGCCACGGAACTGGAGAGGGTGTGCCGACACGGGCGGGGGGGACCGCCTGCGATACCTTGTCATTGGGGCCTTCGGTGGAGCTCTTTGTGGAGCCACGGGGCGTGGAGGGATGTGCCGAATGGGCGGTGAGAGCGCATGCGATGCTTTGCCATTGAAGCATTCGGTCCTTGTGGAACCACGGAACTTGTGAGGGGTGTGCCGGAAGTGACGGGCGGATCGCTTGCGATAACTTGCCACTGAGGCCTTCAGTGGAGATGCCTGTGGGGCCACGCAGCATGGAACGGGTATGCAGGACTGGGCGGGGAGACCGCTTGCGATACCCTGCCATTGAAGCCTCATGTGGAGCTCCGTGTGGTGCCACGGATCTTGAGAGGGATGTGCGGGAACATGCGGGGGGACCGGTTGCGAGACCATGCTGCCGAGGTCTTCGATGCAGCTCACGGTGGGGCCACGAGGTGCGGAGAGCAGAAGGAAGAGGACGTGGGAGGAGGGGGGGCCGAGGGGTGGCGGAGCAGGGGCGCCGCGCTGCGAAGTCAAAGCGAGGACTTGCCTTACACAGGATGGTTGGTGGAAGCAACTTTGGGCCCCTTAGGAGGGGGGCTCGCATGGTAGTGCCGCTCATTTGGGGAAGTCAGCCTGCGTGCTTCTGCCCGCCTTCACGCGAGCCCCATCTATGGCTTCGTTGGGAAAGCGTGCATGCGCACTCGCATTCTGGCGTACCCCTTCACACATTTCACGCCCGTCAGAGAGCTCCACAGACGGCCCCAGTTGGAAAGTTTGCATGCGCTCCCCCTGGTCCACTTCGGAACATCTTCACACGTGCATTGCATAGATAGGCCCATCGCCAACGTGGCACGAAGCTGCCAAGGGTTGGGCCCCTCGCCAGGCGAATTTCAATCCTGGCGCGTGTCCACGAGTTCGGCCTCAAGGGCCCGTTAGCCGGCCCCGAGGCCCTCTGGGAATCGCCATCGGGCCCCAAGGCCATCAACATGGTTTCGTCTGTGAGGGGGACTCAATTTTTGACCCGGCGTCAACATGCGAATGAGTCGCCCAGGAGTCTTCCAGGGCGCCCTCGGAGCGCTCTGAGAGGGAGCGCTCTGTAGCGGGCGCGGCATCCACGAACACATCCCCTATGGGCCCAGCATTGGACGTTTCGGGGCAAATTCATTCGCACCAGATGTTGCTGGTAGCCTGCCCTCGGCTCAGCGGCAGCCCTGGAGAAAACCTGGCACTTCCCCAGGCATCCGACTTCGCAATTGTTTCTCAACGGTCTCCCCGGCCTCTTCCAGGGGACCGGCCGCTTTTCATCCCGAGTCGTGTGTTGGCTGTCCCCGTGACTGGAAAGGCCTCCGCAGGTCGAAAATTGCCAAAAAGCCGCCGTCGTGATTTTGATCGCGATGCAAGGAGGTCAGGGTCACCCAGCACCCGGTTCGTGCCTCCGCCCAGCCGCAGGTACCGTAGCCGCGCCCAGGATAGCGAAGGCGCATCCCCCGCGATGGAGAAAAGCCACGGCTGGGACGCGAGAGGAGGAGGGAAACGAAGAGGACGAGTCGGTCAGGCAGGGCGAGAATGAATGTGTATGTGTGTGTGGTGTTTGTGTGTGTGTGGTGTGGTGTGTGTGTGTGCGTGTGTTGAAACATGTGTATATATACACAAATACGCAGATTAATCGCTCCAGTGCGTTCTGGAGCGCAATCAGAGCCTTCAGGAGCTCTCTGGAACGGCCACGGCGGCGGATACATCTGTCAGTGGCAGACCCGCTATCTCTTCGATGCCCCCGACCTATCTCATCCTGATTCCGTCTTGACATTGCTTCCGTCTTAGCGGGTCGGGGTTTCTGAACGAGACACCAGTTCCAAACGCAGGAAGGTTGGCGCGATGACTCGCAGGGCAAAGGCATGGCTGTAATACGTGTGCGCGCAGCAGCAGGCACCTGAGGTGCATGCGCACGCAGCTGCTTTGTGCATGCGGCTAGGCGCTGCCGCTGGACTGCGAGTGCGCATTTTATCATTTGGGCCCAAGTTTGTCAGGTCTGCTCCAAAGGGGGGAATGGTGCGAGGCGCGCCCGTGAAACAGCCAGGCGCAGCTGAAGGTGCGCCGCACGCTTCTCGGGACTGTGTTCGGAGCGGCCTGGGCGCCCATTTGGGAAATTAATGATGACACATACACAAACTTTCGGATGTCCGCGCGGATTTCCTGGATCAGCGCTGGACCCCTCTCCTTGCCGCGCGGAGCGCGCCCAGGGCGCCGCCACAGGCGCCGCCGGGGGGGCTCAGCGCTGATCCAGGAGATCCGCGCGGACCTCCGAGAGTTTATGTTCATGCCACGATTTGTTCCCCCGACCCGTGCTCTCGTGCGAGGACCCTGCAGAGGTGCCCGCCGACCTGCGCTGGGCCTCCGTGTCTGCCTGGGCAGCGAGCCGCGGCGCTGCCGTGGCGCCGCGCCTCGGGCCGGACGGGCGGGGCGGCGTGCGCCTGCGACCCGGGGAGGCGCTGCGGCACGCCGAGATGCTCATGGAGGTGTCTCGGGATCGACCCAAACGGTGTTTGGGCGAGTGCGTGGACCGCTTCCGTATGGTTTTCTACTACCCTCGTCAAAATTAACCTCAAAAGTTGCTGGCACGTCATTTCGATTTCGGCGCGCCCCTCAATGTCGACACGCCGCCCCTTCAATGTCGGGGCGAGGGCAAAGATAGTCTGACCGAAGTTGACTCGAAAGTTTGACGTCGACCGACATTGGAGGGGCGGCGCATGCAAGTACCCCGCACTCATCGATACTCGGCCCCAGATCTTCCGACAAGCAGTTCAACCACGTCAGACATTTTTGAGGTTAATTTTGACGAGGGTTGTAGTTCTGCTGTGCGAAGGCCGCGCGACGACAGGAAGAGGGAACATGAGAACACCACGACAGCGTAAACGCACTGTTCGGGTCCAGTCCCGGGAGGTGCCTCGGGCGCTCTTCTTGGAGGTGCCGGCAGTGCCCGGCGAGGACCCAGATGAGGCGCTCGCGCTCCGCCTCCTGGCCGAGCGAGGCAAGGGCGCCGAGTCCTTCTGGTCGCCCTACATATCAGCACTTCCGGAGGCGCTGGCGTCCCTTCCTTAGGCTGCAGCTCCTGGCAAGCTGGGTTGAGCATCGGGCATGGCGTGCCCTTCGCTACGAGTCTGCCTCGTCTGGCCGAGTCCGGCTCGATGTGGTGTTGTCGGCCACGCGCAGGGGGGCCTCTGCTGCTGGCCCACGGTCTGGCGAACGTGTCGCGTCAGACCTACGAGGGCAGTCGAGCTCCGATCTGGCCGGTTCGCCTCCCGGGAGCTGCCGCCTACGCTTCTGGATCTCTCGGACGATGCCCTGGTTGCCCTGCCGGGCGCGGTGCGCCTTGCGGCCGCCGCGCAGCGCCTTCGGGCCAGCGGCTTCGCCGCCGCAGCCGCCGAGCCGGGGCACCGCCTGTGGGCACTGAGCTGCGTCTGGAGCCGGGCGTTCCGCTTCCCCGCTGGGCCTGACGGCGAGGTGGCGGCCCTGTCGGCGGCGAGCCAGGGGGGGAAGTGAGAAGGAGAAGGCCCACTCGCAGAGAGCGGCGGGGCTTCTCAGACGGCACGCCGACTTCTGAGGGTATTTTTCTGTTGTCTTCGTGGATGGCTTCCGAGGAGGCCTTCTCCTCCTCACCTCCCCCCCTGGCTCGCCGCCGACCCTCGTGCCCCTGGTCGACTTCTGCAACCACGCCGACGAGGCCGACGGCCTTCCGGTCGTGCGAGGGTTTGACGGCAGCGACTTCTTCGTGGGCACCCGCCACGCGGTGGGGGAGGGCGCAGAGGAGGTGCGCATATCCCAGGCAGCGCCGCGAGGGGTCAGCACGGAGGGGGTCGCGACCTCTTCCAGAAGGCGGCCCCCTGAGGGCCCGCAGAGCCCAGAGAGGAGGCCCAAGGACGCCCAGGAGGACGTCCCAGACCTCCTCGATCCTCGATCCTCCCTCCTCCCAGATCCTCGAATGCCAGGAGGAGGTGGTGACCCCCCTGGTGGTGCCCCCCCTGGGCGCTGCCTGGACATCCTACCGCAGCGGCGCCACCGACGCTGCGCTGCTGCTGCAGTACGGCTTTGCCTGGAGGGGAACCGCCACTGCGAGTCCGTGGTGGAGGTGGGCGGCCTCGCCCTCGCAGTGCTCACAGAGGACGCGGTCGTCGGGGGCACCGTCGGGGGGCGAGAGTGGCTCGGGGGGAGCTATTTCCGCTATTTGCAGCGCCTTGAAGGGTTTGATTCCTGAAGCGCAACACGGCGGCCGCTGCCACCGACAGGGGGAGGGGAGGAGGGGGGCCCGCACTGTCGCCAGGGCCTAGGGAGGGGAGGGGCGGGGGCTAGGGCAGAGGCGGCAGTCCGAGGCCTCAGAGAGAGGGGGAGGGAGGGGCCTCAGGAGGCAACGAGCGGGGGGAGGGCCTCGGACCACCTATGGATGCCGAATTACTCTGTCGTCCCGTTGCTCTGCCGCCCAGAATAGCAGCCTCAGCCAGCTGCATCTCCTGTCCTGGGCGGCAGCGCACAGGCCCTGGAGCCAGGTGGGCGGGGGCCCACCTGGTGGGACCCCCCCTTACCCCCACGGAGCCAGACGGCCAACGACCATGAAATCCTGAACCAGGTCCTGCAATATACAGAGAACTGGGGGGTAAAGGGGGAGGCACCATACTCTAGATCCCTATGGACACGACCCCGCAGCCCTCTCAGGTGCCGTCGAGCTGCGGGCTCGCCGAGCCTCGTCGCGCTGCACCCGCTCAGACCTCGTCGAGCTGGTGGTCGTGCCCAGGGCCATGTCGAGGCCGGTCTTCACCGGCCCAATCCCTCGCCTTGACTTTGTGGTTCTCGAACTTGTGGTACTGCTTGACTATGTAGTGCTCGCACTTGTGGTACTCGACTCAATCGTGCTGGTCGAGGTGGTGCTGCTTGACTCTGCGGTGCCCGAACTTGTGGCACTCGACTCAGTCGCGCTGGTCACCATGGTACGGCTTGACTCTGTAGTGCACGAGCTGTGGTACTCGACTCAGTCATGCTGGTCAACACGTTACTGCTTGAGACTGTGGTGCCAAGCTTGTGGTACTCGGCCCAGTCGTGCTGGTTGACGTAGTAGTAGTTGGCTAGGTGGCCCTCGAACCTGTAGTACTCGACTCAGGCGTGCTGGTCAAAGTGGTGGTGCTTGGCTCGGTGTTGCTCGAACCTGCGGTACTCGACTCAGTAGTGCTGATCAAGTGGTACTGCTTGACTCTGTGATGCTAAGCTCTTTGGTGCTGGGCCCAGTCGTACTGGTCGAAGTGGTACTGCTTGACTCTGTGGCGCTCGAACCCGTGGTACTCGACTCAGTCGCTGGGGTGCTTGTCGTGCTGGTATATGTGGGTCGTTGGGAGGTCGGCTTGTTGTTGGTGTTGTGGTATGGATTGTGGGCGCACTTAGGGCCTCCATGCACCGACTTCAAGTGAGGTTCGTGGCGGCCCCACCTCGTCCCGCTATGGCTAGGGGTCACAGTGGCCTCGGTGGGGGCGAACCCCAGGCCCAGTGATCCTTCTGTTCTCGATGAGGAATGTCTCGGCTGCCCTATGCTTCGCCCCTTGGGCGCTCGGGCAAGCTCCGTCTCCGCCATGGGGATGGTGGGGGTGGCGAGCTAGGGCGGACAGCGGGGGCGCGGGTAGTGGCTTCCTACCCCCCCCCCTGCCCCTCACCATCCCCCCTGGTAGGCGCGGGCAGTACTCGTCCTGCCCCCCCACCCTTCGAGCCCGTCTCGAAGTTTGATCCTTGCCTCACCAGGGCAGCGTTGACTTGTACTGTGGTGTGGTGGGCCGTACTTTGGGTTGTTGGTGGCGGCTGGTCAGTTGTAGTTGGTGGTCGTAGAGGTCGTATATCGTCTGGCTGGTACCGCTGAGCTTATGCACGTGCGATCGCTATCTGCGTCAATACTGCAAAACGTGGCGACTTGTGCCTGGGGTGTTCCCACGCATTCGGGGCTTCCCCAGGACTTGCGTCCTAACGCCTATTGCAAAACTTGGCGACGCTGCCTGAGGTGTTCCCACGCACTCGGGGCTTCCTCAGGACTTGCGTCCTGACGCTTTTGCGCTTGTCGTCGAGCGCTCTTCGACGCGATCAGCATCATCGAGCTGTGCCCGATCAGAACTCGTCGAGTTGGTGGTCCTGCCCAGGGCCTTGTCGAGGTCGGTCCTGCACGGCCCACTCCCTCGCCTCCTCCAGCCAGGTCGGGGCGCCCCCTCGCCTCGTTGGGCCACGGCGGTAGTCCTGGCCCATCTCCCTGGTCATGTAGTGGTCGAGGGGCTGGAAGAAGTGGGCCACATCGTCGCCGATGTGCCAGACGCTGGCGTCGCTTGGCGTGTCGCCGAAGCGCCAGCGCATCTGCTTCATCAGCGCCGTCGCGATGGCCTGGCACATCCTCGTCGGGTACTCCTTGGCCGCCGCGGTGCGCCACTGGCCGTCGTCGTTGATGCCCGCCAGCTCCGCGTGGTAGGTGGCCGTGTGGAAGCACCTCCCGTCTCCAGGCAGCCTTCTTGTCTCCGGGCGGAGAGTTGGAAGGGATACCGCCAGCAGGCTTGTGGACTTCCTCGAACGCGCCCCGCAGGTGCACTGGTCGAAAGTAATCAGCTCGACTCCCTGCTGGCTCAGGAGGTGGCGCGTCTCGGGGAGCCGCCAGGAGCTGGCGATGTGCTCCTCGGTGGGCTCACACGGGTCTCGGCGAGCATGCCTGGGGCGCCAAGGTTGAGGCACGTGTACATGAGCTCCAGCTGTGTCCTGCATAGGCGATTGCCTGTCGCTACTTGTTCCATCTCTGGTCGGGAAAGGTAGCGGAGGCCCCACACGCTGTTGCTGCTCCTCAGGAGTCTCGGTGGGCGACCCCTGCAGGCGTTGGGGGGCAGGTGACGCGCTCGGCTCCATGTCTCGCACGATGGTCCGCCGATGGCGCCTGCGAGCCCTCCTGCCTGTGCGAGGCTTCGCCACTTGTTGACTGCAACTTCCGATGTCAGGTCGCCGAAGGTCGGGTCGTTGGCAACGTCCAGGCTGAGCATGTGCAGGTCACATGGGGCCCGACTGCAGACGCGGTCGAACCAGTCCTGAACGTCTCCCTCTCGGCGGCGACCGCTGAACAGATGTAGCACGCATAGTGTCCGAGCTGGCGGAGGCCTGGGCACAGGTGCTGGCGGCGGCGGCGGTTCCTCGATGAAGGGGAGCTCGAGGTCCTGGTGGTGGCCGCAGTTGCTGTCGTCGCTGTCGTCGTCAGCGTGTATCTCTGGAGGGCGAGCAGGGACTGCGGGCTTCTCGGCCCAGTCGATGGGCCTGTCGGCCCTTCTATTCGCCTGCTGTTGGTCTCGTACCACTTGCTGGTTGTGCTGCAGCTCGGATTTGCTGAGAAGCGCTGGTCGTGTTCGTCGCCAGTGTCGAGCGCACCTGCGCACACGCAGCAAGTGCTTGACCAGTCTGTTCGCGGTGTGAACGTCCATGCCGCATCCATAGCAAATCGAGCCAGTTGCCCACGAGATGG